CGAATAATCACTGCGGTGACAAAAAAATACGCGAAGTATTACATGACCGCTACGAAATGCGCACCACGACGACGTCTCACCAGACTGTAAACACACGGGATTTTTTTTAAACGGTGTCCCGCGGATGACGATGTTTGCGCAAATACATTATGCATCGAGATCGAAGATACCGCGTCGCGGTACCGAGCACCGAGAACGATCCGTCCGTGTTTTCTTTGAAATCTTTTCGTACAAAACTATATCCTTCGTCTCACTACAGATCGAAGGGTTCACGCACACGTCCACCGAGTCGCCGCTTTTCGGCAGCTGTCAATTACTAGCAACACAGGCGCCGCGTTTGTGCAGCATCTCAGCAGAACCACTTTCGGTCCAGCCTACCAAAAAAAAAAAAAGAACCTGTTGTACGAGGGACGAACATCGTGGAAGGCAACTTCCCCGCCATCTGTCAGTAGTGCCACATACATTCAGCACGTTGTCCCTATTATCGACAGAGTGAAATTTGAATTTTCCATGTACAGTCACAGACAAGATATAAGAATAGATCTAACATGCAATGTAATTTTCTGTCCCATGCTTCGAGTGCGTCAAATGCCCCCTTACCATTTTAGTGTCAATACCCGACGTTACCGATAAAGCATGAATTCTGAGGAATATTAGCACAAATGAAGTGTTATATATTCCATTCATATTGCGTGTATCTATATGATTTTACGGGAATAAAAATAGCCGATACTTCAGTTTAAGGTTAAGGGATAAATATGACAGTCATGAAACATGAAACGGAAAAGTATATATTTTTTCACCAAGACAATTTATTCTAAATGCATCGTTAATGGACATTTTACTAATGTTACTTTTTACATGTTCTTGTTTTATTCGTTTTTATATCTTGCCCTACATTTGGATGTTTGTAACAGATGTAGTTTCAAATAGTTTATCAAATTTACATGTGGGAATATATATGCACCGCATTTATTAATATTTACATATTTATAATTTATATGGGAGTATGAATAGTTTTACTGCCTATTGTAAGAATCTTAATACGCACGAACAATTACTTTCTGGCAATTGGTAAATTTTTACATATGAATTTACTTACACGTTATTTACTTCCAAAAATTTTATTTATTGCGAGTAATTAAATAATGAACGTATGTTAATATTCAGCTACGTGTCTCTCAAATTAAGTGAAATACAGAAGTTTTATTTTCTTGAAAATTAGTGTCAAAGAATGCAGCAACTGGTCAGATTAGTTTCGTAAATAAATCGGAACCCTGTATCGGCACATTGTTTTTTATGCTATCAAATATCACGGAATCTTTTAGGAAGTAGTAAAATTTTGTACACAAATTCAATGAAATACTTTCAAGTACCCAGTTTAGGGCTATGAAATTAGAATGTTCAAAAAGAGCTAAAAAACTTTCATATTTGCAATTATTTTGTGAATTGAATAATAAATAAGGGTCTTAGGGATTTATACTGGAGAGCTAAATCTTTAAAAGGAACATGTCGCTTAAACAATTTAGTTAAAAATGATATTTATTTGGGGAATATGAACATTATAATTAAACGAGAGCGGTAGAGCGAGCCGCGGTATCGGTGCTCTTCGTCGGTGCCGACGCGTGCCGAACGATGTCGAAGATGGTCGGAGCGGGCGAACGGAAGAGAGCGAGAGCGGTAGAACGAGCCGCGGTATCGGTGCTCTCCGTCAGTGTGACGCGTCCCGAAGAATTTCGGTGGTCTATGGGGGCAGGTGTGCGAGCGAGAGAGTACGGTAGAGCGTGCCGCGGTATCGATGTTCTCCGTCGGTCCAACGCGCTAGTGACGTTGCGTCGCACAGTTTATTGACCTAGCCGTGTACGCCGTGTACCATAGCCGTACTTGGCTGTACCATCCGGTGTTTGGGTCGTTC